CCCCCCCCCGGTGTTTGCCATCGGGGTTGGGTTTTCGTCGCTTGGCAACGACGTTGAAAAACAAGCCGATCACTTCGTGAGCTTGGCAACCAGGTTACCGCGTTTTTTTTGCCCTTTTTTTTTTGCGGTAACCATAATGGTGGTCGAGTAGATAATGCCATTCGCAGCTGTCATCCGCACGCAAGTAAGTAAGCACAAGATGCCAAACACCCTTAGCAGGATGCAGCGCACCCTTCATGCGACTCGCCGATACCTCACGGTGCTTCGCGCTTGGTGATGTGAGAGCCTCGTTCGGTGAGAACCCGGCGTGCTCCGTCCCGGCCTTGTAGGGACGCGAGGTCAATGGTCTAACGACTACGGCATGCAAGACGGCATGCACAACTATGAGCACACACACACACACACCCGCCGGCGAAGGCCAACCCAAATCTCACCTTGGGGTCCCGCAATTTTACGTTCTCGACGTCATCCAGAGCCAGCGTTTCGCCCCCGACTACCCCCGCGGGCTTTTTCCACACCGGCGCCACCACACTCCCGATATCTAAAAGAAGATTGTGATGGGCATCGGAAGGGACGGGGGACGGGTCATCTATTGCTGGCCTTCGTCTCTTGAGGCTTTTGAGACGAAATCATTCCTGTCTAAGAGTACCATACACTTTTTTTGGCTACATTCAAATCATTTTCGAGCGTGCCCTCTACCTTACTTCTACGTATCTCCGCATATTCTTTATCCCTCCTGGTCCTTCGTGTGTGAGGTTTACGTATGTCAATTTTGATTGAGCAGTCATGTCGAACAAGCGGCACACGCTGGGCAACGCTCGTGGCTGTTTATTTTCCCTGCAGCCCCACTCCTGGCGGATCGTTTTTCATACCTTTGATGCTGGTTATCATCTTGGTACGAAGCAAGCTCTTCTTGCACGGGTTGTCCGTCACCATCTTTATAGCCAGGGCGTTGTAGGTATTTATCCACAAGGCGTATTCAGCGTCCTTGCCCAGCCCGGATGTTGGCGCGTTCTTGAGCGACTCGACGAAGGTCTCGAAGTTCGGGTCATCTCGGACCCCTGGTCGTTTGAGTTGGCGAGGCACCGACGGTTGGTTGAAAGCGCACGAAAACGAGCGGATGTAAGCAAGTTTTACATACTACATGGAACCAGCGACTACTTCAAAGAAAAGGTTCAACACCTTCTCACCTACCAGGTTCCACAGGTGTAGTTTTGGGCGAGTCTCAAGGAGAAAATCAAGCTATTGTGCAACACTCGTTTTATGTACTAGTTTGCCTTAGGCGGTGCCTCCGGTCCCCTCCCCGTTTGCCCATCCGGGCCGCTTGGGTCTCGATTAAAAGTAACCGTCACCGATACTTGCTTGGTCTAGTGGGTAGCCTCGCAGCCTGCCAAGGGCCAGGTCATGATTTCGAGTCCCGGCAGAGTGAGTTTTTTTCTCACTAAATAAATCCTGGTCTACGATGAAAGCGACGCGCTGCAAAGCTCGTTTGTTAGTAAACCATAATCGACTTCGTAAGTCGCGAGGGAAGGGGTTGCTGTACCCTTCTCGCGATAAAAATACCCCAGGCATGAACCGCAGGAGGGGGTCCAACCCCCCCCTCCTATGTGACCCCGGTTGGGTCGTCTAGCTCGTAGAAGTGGAGGATGGGGGCCAGAGGGGCAGACGACAGAGTCCAATGATGGGAGAAAAACAACAACAAAACAACTTGCGAATATCGAATGTCAATATGTCGATATCAGAGAGCGGGTCAGGAAACATACGTATCGACCTTTGAAAATTTCCCATGAGCTGTGATTCACGGGTCATCTTTTACGTATCCGCCAACTAACTTCCTCCAGCCCACGGGTCCGACCCGCGCGGTTGACCAGACCCCAACAAAAGTTTATGTTCGCTTGAGGTATGCACCAGAGTCAGTCACACAGGTATTTCTGGTGCCTCCACACCTACCTGCTGCTGCCGTTCTTGCCTTCATTTTCATGGCTTTATGCCGTCCGTTTCCCAGGACGTTGAAATCGAATTCGTTTCGAATCAAGTCGGGCACGTTGTGAGCAAAACATCCACCTTGTGTGACTGCGCCAAGATCTGACACGGAAATGTGAAGTTTGATGTACCAAAACCGGCCGAATCGCGGCGACTGCTGCTGCTCCTGCAGTCTAGACAAATAGGTACTAATAGGACGCAGGGCGGGGGGTAGGACGGGCCCGGAACCGCGGGTACGCCAAAGGTGTCGACGGAGGTCCAAGCTGCTTCTTCTTCGTGCGTACGATGCGTGTTTGTATAGCAGTGAGCCGCGTCTGCAGCAGCGGCAGCAGCAGCAGCAGTGGTCGAAAAGGCACATGGACGAGCGTGATAGTTGAGACCGCTATTTCGGTGCCCATCACGGAAGGCATATACGTCTACCACTCCACACAGCAGCAGTAGCACACACCTTGATAATCAACCACGTTCAGCGGTATCCCCCGTATCTCTGAGGTCTTGACGTGCGCTTTGACAACAGAGTCCCACGCGGCGTAGTCGGGGGCAGAAGAAGCCGCCATTTCCGCGCAGGGGTGTTTGGGGGATGAGGTGCTGCTGGTGACGGACAGTGCTCCACCAGCAGCAAGGACAGCAATACGCCCGACGAAATGGGCTCGTGTGATGAGAGCTATCATCAATAGAGACGCTCTGTCGCTTTTCAAGGAAACAACGTCCCGAGGAGGTCAACGCCATCAGGCTGGCCTGCGGCAGGAAGAGCCAACGATCACCGCGACTGCTGAAGACAGCCCCCCAAAATGGACGGTGGCGTTTTCACTCGTTTGCGTGGTTGTGTCTACGCACCTCTCGCTGCTGCAGCAGTGAGTCTCACCTCTTCCCCAGCACCGACTGATACGACAAGCATGTCCGAACGTGATGCTGCCAGCGCCACCCCTGCTGCCGAGACCGAGGCACCATCGTCGAATGGAGAGTACCGAGTGTCCACCATCGGGGAAGCTGTGGGGGGCGGCGAAGACGGAGGGGCAGGGGACGAGTTCGCCGGAGCGGACGAGATCACGGGGTCGATGTGCATGGTCTGCGGCGGCGACGGCACGACGCGGATGCTCACAACGAAGATCCCCTTCTTTCGGGAAGTTATCCTCAGCTCCTTCGAGTGCGACGATTGCCACTGCAGGAACAACGAGGTGGGCGTGTAACGTGAAGGCCGTGTAGACTAAAAGCCAGCAGCGTATATGCAGCAGGCACGAGTGGATGGGCGACCAGCTACTGAATCACGCGAGCACAACAGCAGGACGCACCTTTTCTACGGACACGTTACGATCTATGCACTGCGAAAATAAAAACTAGAATGAGTTTTGTGCTCGACTCGGCTTGGGCTTGAGTCGTGCGGAAAGACCAATCTGCAAACAAATTTAGCAAATAGACAAATTCGGGCCAACAAATTTCGTCAGATTTTGGTTGTACACGGTTCTGCGGAATGCTCCTGACAGTCTCGCCATTTCCCACAGCAAGGAAGATATATTATATAGCTGTCGCTACAACGAGCGCTGCTGATAGACGTAACTGCCATCAGACGTGTGCGTCCACGGGGGGAAACAGATACTACACCTGATGTGCGCTGGTGTGAGAGTTGTGGTAACGTTAACTTCACCTGCTGGTTGCCCCCCCCCGTCCACATTCCGCTTTCGTGGTCATACATACCCCCCGCATACTATTGCTGAACCCCCTCTTTTTTGTGTTCGGTGTTTTTCCAACTGCCAGCGAAATGCTTTTTTTTTCTTATTTTGTGCTCCTTCTTTTGGCGAAGCATATGCTGAAACAAGTCAAATGTGCCCACGTTTATGCATTTTTTTTGCAAATATGCCCTGACCTAAGCTCTAGCTATGCTTTTTTTTTTCTGGTGGTCATATGCCTCAATTCGATACTTCATGCTCGCTATCCTGCTTGTTTTAGGTAGTTATGCCTCGCCCAATCTTCTCTTCGAAGCCGGAGGTGTTCTGTTGTTGTCTTTTACTGGGTACATTGGCTGAAATTGACTGTTTTTCCTCCAAAAAAATGGGCAAACGGCAAGAGCGGCCGTTAGCTTGCAATACACTATTAGACCTGTGAATGCTCTTCATCATCCTCATCATGCTCTTCGTTGCGAATGTCGAAAACTCTCGACTCCTAACATTAAGTGGCAAAGCAGCACACTTTGACGCCCTCTTTCGAAAGCTTCTCCCCAATACAAAAGCAGATACACGAGCTGCGCTCACCTAAAAACTAAACAGGGAGAGACAAAAACAGTCGAGCCACCGAAGGGAAGAAGCGGCGCTACATAAGCAGCTGCAGGCAAAGTCAGCAGCACTTTTAGCAACGATGAAAGAATGCCTTCTAGCTTCTAGCACTGGAAGCCCTGTTGTACTTGAGAAGGGTTGATGCCGTAATCCGGTCGCTGAGGCACTGCTCCTGCCGCTCGTCCATGCAAGCACGAAGCAGAGAAAACACCCGTTCCATGAAAGCGGA